AGGAGCGCCGCCGCGCTTCCCAAGCGGCGCACTATCCAGTGCGCCACCGGGCCAGCCCTTTAAAACACTTGTTAAACTTAAAAGCAAGATCCCTTTTTTGCATGGAGCAATCTGTGTTCATTAGTAATGCGCTGCCGCGCCTCCTAAGCGGCGCACTATCCAGTGCGCCACTGGGCCGGCCCTAAAACACTTTTTAAACTTAAAAGCAAGATCCCTTTTTTGCATGGAGCAATCTGTGTTCATTAGTAATTATAACCCAAAAGTTCAAATTATTTGGTAGATGTCGCTCTTTGTATAAATGGTTCATCAGTAATGTGCCAAAGAGAAAACACTTAAGCTTAGAAAGATTACAAATAGATGTGGTTAATTTTTCCCCCTATATATTTAACGTGTAGCTAATTTTAGAGAGGGCCCAAGGGAAGCATGGGAAAACTGTGAGGTGACACATAAAGCTATTTAAAAAGAAAACCTTCCTTAAATTTCGTTAGATGTTTCAACTTGCATTATGTTAAAGGTATTTTTTTCCTCTTTTAGATATTGTTATAAAAACACATTTTCTATTTATAAACTATAAAAGAATGAGTATGTATAACAAAAAATTAAAAAATAAAAGAATCAAGGTTTTGCTATGCTCACTGCTCTCTTTCGGAAAAAAGTGAGAAAAGGAAATAAAGATATTCTTAACCCCAGAGACTGCAGTTTGCCTTCTGAAGTACATCAGTCTCTACGGTATGTGCACAATTTTATGGCTTACTGTGCTTGTGTTTAAATAATTATTACATACCAAGTACAGATGCTCCTTGACTTACGATGGGGTTATGCCCCAATAAACCCAACGTAAGTTGAAAATTCAACACATGATATTTTCAACTTATGATGGGTTTATCCGGACGTAACTCCATCACAAATCAAGGAGTGCACTGAATGCATATCACTTTTGCACCAAGGTAAAGCCAAAAAATCTTAAGTTGAACCATTGTCAGTTGGAGACCATCTGTAATTATATAATTAGGACAGAGAGTTTCCTCTAAAGTTGATCACTAATATCTGAGTAAAAAAATTAAGAGATTTTTTTATATACTGGGGATTATTTTAATTCCTTAATTTGAACTACTAAAAAACAGTTTTCAGTCGATGTTAATAGCATATCAAATGGTATTACATATGAGTTATGAAAGCATAAAATATTACACTTGTTCTAATGAAACCTGCACTTTACACAATTTCCCTTTAATAAAAAGGTAATATCTTTAAAATGTTCATTTATAAGTTGGTCTAAATTATGTTGCAATTTTTCATTAAAAAGCTGAGATGGACCTATAAGGAAGAAGGCATTACTATACTTTAAGTAGTAGTGCTACATATTGATGTCCCACTACTTGTCCTATTAACTACCACCCAGGAAATGTGCATATGGTTGCATGAAATTGTATCTTTGCTGTTCAACCCTTTCCCCAGATAAACTCATATTCAGCAATGCCTACTAAACTGACAAGCACAATTATTTAATCATAGTAATCTTATGATGCATCATGCAACAGGATATGCCTGCCATATCAGATCACCCACCGTATCAGAATCTACGTTCTCATATCTTTCCTTATTTTCCATAGGACCAAAAATTGATTCAGAAGGGAGTTCTCTTTTACATATGATTTCCGAGGTTTTCAGGATGAATTGTACATTTGAAAAGATGTTTGGATATTTGTGATATGATGCTCCAGAGAGAGAAAGTGCTATTGTAAGAAAAATAATTTGTGAGAAATATTTCATTAATATCTTGCATTGTGCTTCATTTGTCTTAGTTATCAAATTATAATTAAACTCAGTTCTCAGATGCGGGAGCTACTGTACATTTCCCCATCTATTCAAGATTTATAATGTTATGTATGCCCCCTGGTGGTGTATTAGAAAACAACAAGGTAAATAATTCATACATGGGAGTTCATATAATTCAGAATAGCAACTGCATAATGGTTGAATGCCAATTAAATATAGTTACTGCTCAACAATGCTTGAAAGCTTCCAGCTGAAAATAAATCAATTTATAATAGATACTCTAATCATCATGGATACTTTGAAATTATAATCCTACAAACAAATCAATGACATTCCTTCTAACCCAACATTTTCATATTCCTTTTCAAGATGTTGATATTACTGATTTTTTTAAAGTACATATTTTAAACATAGGCAAAAATTATGTCATTTAACATAAGACTTATGTGGTACTTAACATGATACTTACGTGTGATATTGTGTGATACTTAACAGAACCATTTTGGTACTGTTTTTTCTATAAATGTTCAGACAATCTTTTGGTTTCAGTACATGCACACAATGGACAAATTCATAATGACCATTCTTCTAGTGGATGTCTATGTGCAGAGGTAGCAGCTGCTAATAGCCGCAGGTAGAAAAAGGCCTGTTTCTGAAGATAGACATGTAGTCTAAGGCTCTACGTAACAATATTTGGTATGAGGGCAAACTTTTGGGATTTTATCTTCATATAAAAAAAGATGTTAGTTTTCTTCAGACATACCTACAATAATAAGCAAATATAAGAACTTGAGGTTTTATTTAAATAATTTTTCAAAATGTATTTGGCACCACCATCTGAATATTTGATAAGTCACTATGGTGAACACTGTGAAGAGTTAAAAAGAGGATTTATAATTTAATGAAGAAATCAAAACAAGTGATATGAGAGGAAAGAATTCCTATTCTGTCAGTCTACAGCCTCCTCTTGGTTTCATACCCTGGAAGGACGTGTAGTAGTGTTGCCAGTTGATCGGTCTCCAAAGCACATCCCTTCTACTTCCTCCTCCATGACTTTTTCCATAAAGTATTATTCTCTTTCTTTTATCTTGAGTCTCTCATTCACTTATCCTACAAAAGAAGAGATTCTACCCTTTCTCTTCTTTTGACCTTGTTTTTCCATTCCAACTGTTGACATATTTATATGTCAATATAAATAATTATATCTAAGCTTTTTGCATATAATCTTAGCCTGATGCTCAAAATTTCTCTCACTGTTTGTCTACCACTAATCTAAATTTCACTTCCCCCTCCCACTGGGGATGCTCCTAAGATCAGCAATGACTTTCCAATGGCAGACACCCATCACCACTTTTGAGACATCCTAGTTTTTAATTCTTCCATAGCTCTCGATAAGGGTGATCTTCTTGAGCTTCCCTCCTTGGATGCCATCACTTCCTCTCACTTCCCTTAATTCTTTTCATAGGTTCTGTTACTCCAATCATCCATTAAACGTTAGTGCTCTCCAGGATTCTATTCCTAGAATCAATTTCTCCCCACCCCACCACCCTGCCCTCGGGTTATCTCAGCTGCATTAACACGGATTACTGTCAAATCTATATCCCAGGCTTCACTTATTTCGCTAGTTCCAAACCTATGATTTCAACTGCTTGCTGGGTACTTATACCTGAGTGACCTTCAAGTTCAATATGTCCAATATTTGTCCAAAATTTTCAGTTTAGAGCATCATTATCCATCTCAACCCTACTATTCAATACGTAAAACTTCGGCTTCCTCCTGAATTTCTCTTTCCTTTACATATAGCCTAGATCTTATTGATCACCAAGTCCAGTCTTTATCTCTTAAACATTTTTCAAAATGATTTTTCTATATATCATTCCCATTGTAAAAGTTCACATCTTTAATCTCTCTTCTTCTACTAAAGTCATAGCTAACTGGACTCCTGAACCCACTCTCTCTTTACTCCAGTCCAGCATCTACTTTGCCATTAGGGTTTCCTACTAAAAGAGGAGTTTAATTTTCTTGAAATCCAGTGAGGTAGATACTATTACAGATGAGAAAACTGGCTTACAAACAAGGTCATACACTTAGGTAAGTAAGAAAATAAAAAGCTGAACAGTATGCTGGCTGCTAGAGGCTGGAGTGGGGAGTGAAGTGGAGAAAAGAGATGTTAGCCAAAGAGTACAAAGTTTCGGTGAGACAGGAGGAGTAAGTTCTAGTGATCTATTGCACAGCATGGTGACTACAGCTAATAACAATGTATTGTACGTTTCAAAATTGCTAAAAGAGTAGATTTTAAATGTTTTCACCACAAAGAAATGATAAGTATGTAGGGGAAAAAATGCTGAACAAACACAGTCTGGCCCAAAAGCTGTGCTCTTCAACAATGCACCTGTTATCTTTCATGAAAAATAAAATGTAGCTCATGCTCTTCATAGTGACAGTCTAAGCTTCTCAAAATATAACATAAAACATTTATAAGTGTAAAAAATAAAAGATACTCTACCATATAAATATGGCTGAAGCCTAAGGAGATGTTGTTTAAAACTTTCCAGGTGACCATGCAGGAAAAATATAAAAAGTCGTAAGAAGACCAAATAGCCAATCTGTCAAAAGATAAAAGAAAAAGGCATTTTGTGTTGCCTCAGTAAATGTTTGAAAACCAGAAGGAAAATAAACCATTTTATTATTACTTTTACTTTTGATAAAACAATTTCAAACTCAATCAATATTATGTTTTTGAAATAGCTTTAAAACATTTATATCAAGATTGAAATGCTAGTTCAGCCAAATGACTTATATAAATCATCACTACATTACGTGTAATGACCAATACTGAATGCTGCTTTGTTCTATATCCTTCAGAACAGAATTTTTCAAATTGCAAGTCATACCCCTTAAGTGAGTTGTGAAATCAATTGAGAGGGGATTTTTAAATAAAATGAAAGAGGAGAGAAAACATTACAGTATATTGCACAGTTCCTTGTTTCAGTATATAAATGAGTTCATATTATGTGTGTGCTGGATCACAATGCAAAGCGTAGTTCTTCCTAGAGGTCTCAATCAGAACAGTTCAAAAAACATTGTTTTAGGTAGTGTTGAGAAAGATTCTGCTTGCACATAGCATGCTGTACTGAACTCCCTATTATCTTATGAAAGAAAAAGCAATTTCCCAATGTTATTACTAAATAAGCATTGTAAAATCTTACTTCTATGAAATGTAAAATACATGTATAGCTAAAAATAGTTTGTTTTACATACACTGAAGAAAATGGAATGCTTGTAAAAATATATAGTATGCAAGATTTCACAGAAAATTAGAAAAAAGTATAAACTATAGAAATAAAAGAAATACAAGTTGATGAATTTGCTAAATCATAGAGAAGAACTTAATAATAGCAACAGCTTTCACTATCATGAGTGTGTGTGTGTGTGTGTGTGTGTGTGTGTGTGTATCTCCAAATCTTCTTAATAGCAATGCAGGGTATTATTGACATACGTGTAAAACTAAAAGTAAAATAAAATAAAATAACCAAGTCTCAGAGTTTCCCCCAAGGATAAGTGGCATTACTGGACTATCAACCCAGGACTGTGTATATTGCTCCAAAAGGCATAAACTTTCTCCTATAATAGTGATTTCCAAATATTTTTAATCACAAATCTCTATCATTAAAATAAATTTAGAGAATATGCCATCAATATTTGTAAATATATCCATAAATTATAAGCATGCACCAATTGTAGATTTATAAAATAAATAAAAATAAAATGTTTTTAAGGCATAAGGTGTCCCTTCATATAGACCACTTCGTTATAGCACTGCACTTCTCCAAGAGACTGAAGTTAAATGAGAACAAAGTGCAGGTGAGCAGACTATTTAAAAGAATATTGCAATATTCCAGATGAGAGTATTAAAGGTATCAACTTCCAAAGTCATTGAAAATGAGGGAAAATCTATCAGAAGGGGAATAATTTAGGATTTTTTCAAGTGATTAGAGATAATTATTGTTCAAAAGCTTAACATGGAACAAAATTGAAAATACATGAAAAGCATATCTGTATGAATAACCTCTGCATTATGTCCCAAATTAGTAATAAATTTCACCTAATCCAGAGTCTCTCTCTAGATATAACTATGCTTGGAAAAAATAGTTTTAAAAGGCTTCACCTGTAATATTCTGAAGCCCCTATTTTTATTGAAAAATCTACCTTTCCATATCTCTAAGGAATTCTGGGACTTTCTGTGCCTCGCTCTTATGTGGCAATAGTGTACGTATCCTTTCTGTAGCTTCACAACTCAGAGATTCCTAGACTGAATCTCTGTCCAATTCTCTTTCTCTGTTCTCCCATCTTTCCTTCCTTTTGCCTTTACCTCTTTCTCGCCTTCTCTTTACATCTCTTTTCTTCATTTCTCAGGCTTCTTTAGCTGATGGTGAAATAGAACTGCTGGACAATATCTATCCTGTGTCATATTTTACCAGTTGGTTATGTGTTTTATGTTTTTTCCACAGAAGCTTGAAGAGCACTGTTTATATTTCCATCTAACATACATTAAACTGTTGTTGCTTATATGTTATTCTCCACACTTGTTAGCAGACTTTAATAGTTAAGAAGATTCTACACTTAATGGTTGATAAAAAGGAAAGAATATACACAAAATCTGAAAGGAAATAGTATTAGGGAATCACATGTTTCTGGCTTTATCCAGTCCTGAGCTGCTTCATCAGAGGAGGAACAAAAGGATACATATAGAGGCGGGTGGTGCCTCTATGGCAATACCCTTTAATTAACCAAAGAGCAAAACGGAGGTTTCCAAAGGGCTTTCAGATACATAGCAAAAATTCCACAAAGGCAAGGAGGACAGCTGAAGTGGTTTCTTGCCTGGAATCAAAGGTATTTATAGATTTAGACAACGCTTACTTCCACTAGCTACTCATAGTTTACACTAGCTAGAACAATGAAGGGTAAGCTTTAAAATTAGTAAGTCTGAGAGCCATGGTAGATGCGTCGCATCACGGCTGAGAGTGCACTGGACTATGGAGCCACACTGTCTGGGTTTCAGATTTTTCTGGGCTGAGACCTTTGGTGAGTCACTTTAACTTTCTATACTACAGTTTTTCTGTTTATTAAGTGGTGGATAATAATAGCACATACCTCTTAGCATTGTTGTGAGAATTAAATGAGGTAATATGTCTAATATATTTAAGGCATTTATTATTAAGCAAGGCACATAATTAAGTGCTGTTTAAGTGTTGGCAGCTTCTGTAAGAGCTTGCACAAATTGTCCAACCTTATAGATGAGAAGATATAGAAATATTCTAAGAAATAAATGTCATGGTATGTATAAAGTATAAGCAATAGGTTCAAAGAATAAAACTATATTTTAAAACTATTTTTCAAGGCAATATGTGGGGAAAAGTCACTAAAAGAGATAAAAGAAAGGACAGAAAAGCCAGACTTGCTCTATGTTTTTCTATTCCATACTTTTTTCCATTTTGTTCCATTTAATTTTTTCCATTATACACAAATGTTTACTTTTATATTTAGCATTTACATTTTTACATATATGTATATATTTATATTTATATTTTTCCATTATATATGATAGATAGATAGATGTCCGTAATGGACAATTTGGAAAAATACAGAAAAAAGAAAGAAGAAAAAAAATAATCATCATCTCACCATTCTAAGACAGCTACTGGTAACACTTTGATTCTTTTCCTCCAATCCTTCTTCTGCACAAAGCCTTAGTTTTTTGCATGGTCAATTTCTATTATGTGCTCTCTCTACCTGCTCTTGCTTGGATTCCATAAGTCTTTTACTCCCAAACATGTCAGAGAGCTCCTAGTCTTGATTTATAAGGACTAAAACATGGTTATCTTCCCAAAATGCCCTACTGATGGACTGATTCATAAATACTCTCTCATGCTTGTTTTCTAACAGTTCATAATCAAAATTGAAAAATAAAAATAAATTTTTGCACAATCATTTACACTTGTTTTATATACACACATACAAAAACACATGAGGGTACCTCAAAAACTTTGTGGAAATTTCCATGAACTTTTTGAAGTATCCTTCTGTGTATCTCTGTGTGTTTGTGCATGTGTGTATATATATACATATGTATGTACAACTATGTGTTCCTTAACAATGGGGTTACATTCTGAGAAATACATGGTTAGTTGATTTCATTATTGTGCAAACAACAAAGAGTGTACTTGCACAAACCTAGATAGTATAGCCTACTACGCTACTAGGCTGTATGGTATAGCCTAAGGCTCCTAGGCCACAAACCTGTAGAGCATGTTTCTACATTAAATACTGTAGGCAATTGGTAACACAATGGTAAGTATTTGTGTATCTAAACATATCTAAACATAGAAAAGGTACAGTAAAAATATGGTATAAAAGATAAAAAATGGTACACCTGTATAGGGCACTTACCATGAGTGGGGCTTGCAGGACTGGAAGTTGCTCTGGGTGAGTGGGTGGGTGAGTGAGTGAGTGATGAGTGAATGTGAAGACCTAGGACATTACTGTGCACTACTATAGACTTTGTAAACACTGCACAGTTAGACTACATGAAATTTATACAAAAATATTTTTCTTCATTCAATAATAAATTAACCTTAGCTTACTGTAACTTTTTTACTTTGTAAACACTGAACTTTTTAAACTTTTTGATTGTTTTGTAATACTAGCTTAACAAACATAAACACATTGTACAGCTGTACAAAATATTTTCTTTCTTTATATCCTTATTCTATAAGATTTTTCTATTTTTAAATGTTTTTTATTTTATTTCTGTTAGTTTTAAAACATTTTTGTTAAAAACTAAGACACACACACACGTTAGCCTAGGCCTGGGCAGGATTGTCAATATCTCTGTCTTCCGCCTCCACATCTTGTCCCACTGGAAGGTCTTCAGGGGCAATAACACACAGGGAGCCTTCGTCCACTATGGTAACGATGGCTTCTTCTGCAATAACTCCTGAAGGACCTGCCTGAGGCTGTTTTACAGTTAACTTTTTAAAAATCTTTATAAATCGGAGTACACTCTAAAATAATGATAATGATATGGTATAGTAAATATCTAAACCAGTAACATAGTCATTTATTATCATTATCAAGTATTACGCACTGTACATAATTGTATGTGCTATACTTTCATACAACTGGCAGCACAGTAGGTTTCTTTACACCAGCATCACCACAAACACATGAGTAATGCTTTGTGCTACAAAGTTACTATGGCTACAACATCACTAGGCGATAGGAATTTTTCAGCTCTATTATAATCTTATGGGACCACCATCACATATGCAGTCCGTCATTGATGCAAACATCATTATGCAGCATGTAAATACAGAAATATAAATAATATACATATATATTATATATATAATACATATAATCATCTTAAAGAAACCCTTGTAGCCTTTCTTTTCTTTCTTTGCAATAAAAGCATTAGTTAAGCTAAATTTATTTGACTAATAATAAATTTTTCAGCAGTCAACCATGATTATTACAGGGAGTGGAACCATATGACTTCCAAGATCTGATAAAACATAAGCTATGTAAAAATAGTTCCCACTTTATAGTTCTAAAGCAATATACAATACTAAAAGAACAACTCATCTTCTCAAGTTGGGCAACCATTTAAGGTTATCTGTCAGCTATTTCAAATGGCAAAGGAAGTGGCATTAAAAAATCTGTAAAATGGAGAAAAAAAATCTATATAGGTGTATACTCAGAGAAACAATAAGTATTTTTAATTAAATATTGTTTTCTTATATAGTGGGTGAAATTATATTTTCTCAAACTATCTCCATTTGGCTATCAAGCAAGAATGTACTATTTACATTTACAGAAGATTAAAATAAACTTCCACCAAAGAGAATATTCCATAACCAAAGTGAATATCCTATTTTGATCCTAAAACAGATGTCCTGTAATTACATGTAGTACATGTAACATTGAACACATAAAAATAAATTTAAAACATACCTTTGCCAGCTGTATTTCAACTGAATATAAGTATGCCTTTTGAAATGCGTCACAACAGAGTCTGTATAAAAGTGATTCCGCAATAAAAAATAAGGCAGGCAGATGATCATAATCAAAGCAAGCATGGTCCAGGGAAGCATAAAGCATATTTAAAGCTTCTGAAATATTAAATAGTATAAATTCCATCATTAAAAAGTCATCCTGTTTTCCTACATGCTATAATTAATTTTTGTAATTAACTAATTGCTCAATTACCATAAGCAGATTGCAGTTTTAAAACATATTTACAAATTCTTTGACACCCTTCCCATTAACAGGCAAAGTCTGTACTCCCTGCCCCTTAAACTTGAGCAGGCCTAACAACTGCTTCAAATGGTAGAATGTGCCAGAAATGACACTGAGTGACTTCCACGGCTACATCAGAAAAGGCAATACAGTTTCCACTTGGATCTCTGTCTTGCAAGATAATAGCTTGGAATCCTAAGCTGCCATGTAGGAGGTCCAACTCCGAGGAGCTGGACTCAGAAGTCACCACGTTGGAAAGACTGCATAGAGAGAGAGAGAAATGCCCAAGGAGCTCCAGCTATTACAGACAAGGCTAAATAGATCACCAGGCCACATACATAATGGTGGAGAAATAGGACAGAACTGGATGATGAAAGGAAATTCCAAAGACAAATGGCATAAAAGATAAGAGCAGAAGATTAGAAAATCAAGGCAGAGGAAACAGGGCCCCTGCAGAGCTGAAAAAGGAAGAATATGGAGCTAAGGGCCTACAGAAAATACCACCTCATGTTATTACAAACATTTTTAGGAGCTGATATGTAACATATCTTAGGAAGAAAGCAAATGCAGGGACCTGAGAAGGGAAAAACCCTAATGTGCTCAAGAAACAGGAAAGAAGCCAGTATGGCTGGAGCATAATGAATAAGCAGGGAGATGGCCAGCAGTCGGATCATACAGATAACTGTAGGCCAGGATATGGAATTAGGGCTCATTTTAAATATATTCAGAAGCCACTGGAAATTACCTAAGCTTTGAATGGTCACTGCTGAGTGTTGGGTGGACTATAGAATGAGGAGTGAACAAGACTACAGGTAAGACACCTGTTAGGGGGGTATTGCAGTAATGAAGATGGTGAGAAGAAAGTATATTTATAGGATGTTATTTGGAGTTCAATATCTGAATGAGTTAAAATGCTTTTGGCTGTGTGTAACAGATGACTCAATAAAAAAAGGCTTCAGAATAAGGATGTTTATTATTTCACAAGATCAGAGTTGGAAAGGTTCCAGGGAAGGCTAATACGTCTGCCCTCTGTACGCACATTTATTTCATCTTCTAGTTTCCCTGATGTACATGGTGACTGTGATGCCTGCAGAAGCTCCAGGCATTGTGCTCTTACCAAGCAAACTAGAGAGGAATAAAAAGAGGTGTTGGGAGGGGAGAGATGCTTTCTTCCCAAGCATGTCTTTTTCAAAAACAAATCAACAAAAAGTGTTCCAAATAGACCTGTCTTAACATCCCTTTGGCCAGGACCATGTCCTACAACTACCCCTAATCCAATCCCTGGAAAACAAAAGGGAATTGCCATAATTGATTTAGACCAACCATGATTCACTCTCTGGGGCTGGGCAAGGGCCAGTCCTTCTCTGAATCACATGACTGTGGGATGCCTGAACAAAACTGAGGTTTAATTGTCAATGAGAAGCAAGTGGCTACTGGTTGTTGGTAAGTAAGAATGTTTACCTCAATATCATTTAGACATTTAATAGATGTCAGGCTGTGGATGGCACTGTGACGAAGGATCATAAAGGCAAGTTAAATACAAAACAGTTCTTACTCTTCCTTTCTTGCTTGAAAGCTGCCAGACAGCACTACAAAACCCAATTTACATGGGGACCTCATGTAGTTAACATTCTAAAACTCATTTTAAAAGGCACATACATAACAATTAGGATATTTGTTAGGAATTCGGACAATTAGGACAGTAGGAATTTTACCCCCTTAAAAATAATGTTATTTAATTTCTTTTTTATACTGTTAGAGGGTGCTTTAAAAGAGACATATAAATGAAGTGATAAATGACAAGGTAATGAGTAAAAGCTTACTGTGTAAAATAAGTGAAAAACAATTGGCCATTTGATTAATGTTTTATGAGTGAGAAATATAAAATGCAGAAATAAGTTTCTCTAAAGTATAGTGCCTATTGTAATTGGAAATCACTAAATGACATTTTATATTACTTTTTAATTAGTTACTAATTTTAGAGAAAGTAATAAAGACTATGATGAGTAAAAGTTTTTGAAACAATTTTGTAATTAAAAAGTTGAGCAGTCAAACTCATAAATTCAAAATTACAAAAGGAACTTTCATTATGAAACATTATAAAATATTTCAATAGAGAATGGCAAACTTTTCTTGTCTCCAGCACAATTTCTAAAAATTAAAGTTCTCAAATTTTGCTTTCATTGCTAATCCAGAAAACACTGAGGATGCTTAAGAAGCACTTAGCTAGAGCACATACCATCTTGGATTTCTCCTTTACATTGAGCCAGATAAATTACTTCAGTCCATGCAGCAGGAAGATGCACATGCTTCCCGGAGCCCAGGGTTTCGAGACCCAATTTTCTCTGTTATGAGGAAACATGAAAATGGCAAACTAAAATGTACATCTATTTGTTTGTTTGTTTGTTTAATTATTTTTATTATGAAAGTCATTCTATGGGACTGATGCTCTGTGGCCAGAGTTATACACAACTTTCTATTTATGCTTTTATTTGTGAATATTTTGACAAAAATGTCAAAAAAATTAGCATTAGTATTACTCTATGGGACTGATGCTCTGTGGCCAGAGTTATACACAACTTTCTATTTATGCTTTTATTTGTGCATATTTTGACAAAAATGTCAAAAAAATTAGCATTAGTATTACTGTTAAAACATAGAGAATGTCTGTTAATGTTCTGAGTAATATCATTAGTTATTTGCTGAAAATAATTTTCACTCTTTACTTTCTAGGGATTACTTCTATTTCATTTTCCCCCAAGAGAACGCATCTCTGATTTTATAAGGAAAAGTACTGAAGAAATGAGTTTGATGCCAATTTGCTGGAAAACTGGGTACTTCAGTGTTGATGGGCTGATGTTAATGAACGTGAAGGACATGATCAGGATTGCCCCCTTCCCTTACTGTGCCCACTCCTGGAGCTGCCCCAGGGAGCACGTGCACAATTAGAGATGAACGACCTTGGCACCTGTGTTCACGCACACTTATCAGAAGCATACCCTTTTCTAAGAACCTGCTTTAAATGAATTTTTAAAAATTTTTCAAATATGTGAGACAGCATTGAACTGGAAAATAACAACTGCATCAACCAAAAAGAGGCAGTTTAACTTATGCCCCAATTTTGTGCAACTTTTATTTCATGAATTATTTGGTATTAAAGAAAAATCATATATATGTTATTTCTCTGTCAAACAAACTAAATCTAATGTAAGAAAGG